ACAGTCAGCTTGGCCTTGGATTTGGATCTTTGGCCTCCCAGTGTCAATGGAAGACTGTCGTTTCCATGCCTTCCTTTCATCCCTTCAAATTTATTTATGCCTTACCTGTTCCCCTGAAATAGCAATTTATATGTCCTTAAGCTTAAGAGATGTGTCACTTTATCCCTGGACGGAGAGAGGATGCTCATATTTGAGATGTGTCCAGAAAACTCACCAAGAAGAATGCACCAGGATCCACTTGTCCCTATAAGCAGATGTGGAAGGAACGAATGTGAGATCACCCATCCTGGCTTCCTCAGTCCCCGTGCAGTGACAGGATGGGACCCATGTTCAGGGAAGGGGTCCCTGTGATGCAGCCCTCTCAGCCACGCCATCATCTAATCTTTGAAAGCTGATGTTTAGCAGAACCGCCTGCCTTCCGTGTTGCGAAGTGAAGCTCCCACCAGCTCCACAGCCAGCACTGGGCCCCGGCCTCCAACTTCTCCCGCCTATGCCGCATCTGGTGGCAGGAGCTGCAGAATGCATCAGCGGTTGAGCCCAGTGGATTAAGACTCAGTGGAGAGAGGCGATCTGAAATGGGAAATGCTTTTAAATGGAAGCTGACTAAGAAGCACCCAGATCCATAGCTTCATAGAGGAGAGTCTGGCCTCTCAGCGGTTTGTGCCTGTGAGACACGCGCTATGTGGCCGAGGTCCCACACCTGGTTGACTGCCTTGTGGAGAAAAGCCTGGGCCATTGTGCAGCAGGGAAAGGAGCACACGTGGCAGGCAGGTGGTGTGGCCCTGGGACCCGGACACCGGAAGATGAGCCCTCCAGGAAGGTGCCAGCTACTTCTGCTGGTCAGAGCACCCCCGGCAGCAAGCCCCACTCAGGCTCACCGACAGAGGTGGCGGGGGACACACGAGACATCCAGAGGAGCGGCGCCTCCTCGGCATCTGCAGGCTGGAGCCTCACCTCCTCCCATCCCTCACTCATCCTCCTGGACTAAGTGGCCACAGCCACAGCTCATCCCGGGGTCCAGTGGGGCGGTCAAAGGCGAGGCCTCACAAAGTGCATGCGCTGGGCTCCCAGACAGCAGCACACAGTGCAGGTGAGGCCCAGCCCTGCTTCCCCCAGCCTACAACTCTGCCCACCCCACTTTCTGTGGGCTCTAGGTGTCCCTTCAGTTTAAATGGTGCCCACGGAGTGCTGTCCTGTCTCAGCCCTACCCCAGGCCCCGGATGAAAACTTCATCTGGCAGTGCCTGCCAGGTGTAATGCCTGTGGGCATCTGTCTCCCCTCCAGCGGACTGAGCCGCCCACGTAACTCTGGCACTGGATGGACTGGTGGTGCTGTGGCAGAGGTGATAGGCTGACCCATCAGAGTGAAGGCCTGGCTCAGATGGCATCAACCACAGGCACCGGCATCCTGCCACAGCCTCGCCTCTCGAGCCCATGCCCCACCCTGAGGCCTGCGTGACAGATGCCTACACACGACACAGTGCACCTGCAACTCAGGACCTGGACTTCAGGGTGGAGCTCACTGTTCTGCCATCTCCCGGCCTGAGGCTGGCACCCCATAAACGTGTGACAGATGTGACAGTCTGTCTGTCCCTTGAGCTTGCTCCGCTGCCCTGACACCCTCCTGGTCCTCCTAGGCATGGCCCCTTCCTGAGGTCTGTGCCAGAGGAACACCCATGAGCCCCGGGCATGGTCCCCCAGAGTTCAGCTGGCAGAGCTGAGTGTCCACAGGAGGAGGGAGCTGCCTGGGCCAGAATGTCACAGGCCCCTGTGTGTGGCTGAGCTTCTGCCAGACTGAGGTCAGAGGGGGCTCTTTGGGGACCTCACCCTAGCTGCCATGTGAATGGAGGGGTGAAGGGAGCCCAATAGACAGCTGGTACAGGTGGAGCAGAGTCCAAGGACCTGGGGAAGGGAAGAGTCAGCGACCTACCATGTGGGTTAAGGGACAGGAGTGGCTGGCCTCAGTGGATGGCCGGGCTGGTCCCTTAACCCAAAACCACAAATCAGGATGGGTGCGCAAGCAGAGCCCAGGCAGCCTCAGGACCTTGTGGAGCAGTCTTGTGCAGGGCAAGGTCCTGTGTACTACACAGTTCTGGAAATTGCCCTCTTAGCCACGTCTCGGCTGTGAACAAGAGGACGGAGCCCGGAGCAGGCACTCCCCGTGCTTCTCCTCCACTTCTGCCAGATTCAGAGGGCAGCCGCACCACTGGGCCCCATCCAGTCCCAGGACCTGCTGGGGCTCGGGCTGGCCAGGCTGCCGGGCTGCTGGTTCTGAGAAAACTGGTATATTATACACACACACAGACACGGACCTACAAACACACACAAATACACGTGTATACAGGTACGTGCAAATAACATGAAAATACTTCACACGCGTGGGTTGTCCTATGCACACCTGCGTGTATTCATACCTACACCCAGCACACCTCTACATGTACTTCCCTGTGTGCACAAATGTACATACATCTATGCAGAGTGCACTTACACGTGTGTACATGTACTGTTATATTTAGAAACTGTAGTGTTCGAATTCTACCTCGAATCCTCATCAGCGCTCAGAATCAGCAGGTGTCACCTGTGGGAAATGTTTCTGGGAGAAACTGGAAGCAGTCCTTGTACTCGGTGTGCTCTTGCCTCCATGTCTGTGTACCGCCTTCTGAGAGACCCTGGCTTCTCGTGTGCGCCGAAGAACACACTTGCTGCACCAGGAACCACTCACTCTCGTTGGCATTTTTTCCCAGAGAAGCAGGTACATCTTCCAGGCAGAAGCCTGCGCAGGTCTGGCATTGATTTTCACCAGATTTTGTTATTGCATTTGTCTCACAGCTTTAAAATAGTGGCAAATATGTGCAATTTATTTAAACAACACTGGGGAAATTAACGCCATGCAAGCTTATCCTAAGCAAATGAAGATAACGCAGGTTTTTGTTTTTTTATTTTTAAATGGCTATGTGAAAACCCTGTAAAATTTCGAGTCAGAGACTCAGAGGCCCAGGTGAGCTGCGGCTGGCACAGATGGCGGAGATCCAGGGAGACGCCAGCAGGTCTGCTTTGCCATGTGCTGCAATCAAAAGGGCCAAGACTCCCTCCACGGCTGCACTCACGGGGCCAAGGCTCCCTCCTAGCATCTCGCCCCGTTGTTCACCTAGGCTGGCTGGTTGCTTGTGTAGACGTGCTCGACACTGAGCCACCTGGGAAGAGGCCAGCCTCGTTACCTGCCAGTGGAAAGCCGCAGTGGGTACCTGGCCTTTTTTGCATCATGGCGAGGCCTGTTCTCCAACTGCAGAGGTCAGCTCTCCAGGGCGATGGCCAGGGAGCTGGTGCCCGTGGGACCTAAGAATGTGCCTTTCTAAGGAGCTCCCTGGGGCTCCGATGCCAGCCCAGGTCCGGCGTGGGAATTCCGAACCCTCTTCCGCCGTCTCAAAGGCGTCCTAAGGACAGGGAGTCACACCCTCAGACCAGCGCAGGCCCTCTCTCTGCCACTCCTGAGACTCACAGAGAAATAAACCAGGGACAGCTGTGTGTGTCCCTGGACCAGCACATGTGACATGGGCGGGGTGTCCTGTGTACACACGTGGGCTCCCTTAACCCTAATGTACACGTGACATCATGCACATCCTAACACTCGCAAACAGGTAAAAGGAATGAAGCAAAATAACAACATAAAACTCCAAGAAAACCAGCGTTTACATCTTGATGCATTTCCTCCCGATTCTCCTTGACCCTTTAAAAACAAATCGGGCCCATGTTAACGGTACTTTGGTGCCATTTCTCCACTTACTAGTATTTTACGGACATTTTTCCCCAAGAAGCACCCTGAAAGAGTAACTTTGAATGATGATAATATCCCAAGGTATGGATGGGATGGAATGGAATGTGTGATTCATTATCCACATCCAGGGTTTTTTTCTGGTATTTTTTATTATTACAAAGCACTCACAGTGACATCTTTGTACACAGACTTTTGCTTTACACACAGTGTTCAATGGGACAGATTTCCAGCTGTGGAGTCGATGGGTCCACAGGGAGGGTCCCTGCTAAGGCTCTGGTGGTCAGCAGCAAGCTGAGGGTGGAGCAGTGCTGACCACAGCCCCAGCGGGCATGAGCCCTGGGGGATTTGGTTTGATCCCTGGGAAACTGGAAAGTTTTTCATAAGTTTGGTGACTGTTAGTATTTATCTTGTTATGAATTGTCTGATGTTATTTTCATAGCATTTCCTGTTATGAACAAAAAAGATACCTTTTTCTTTATCGGCTGGTAAGAGCTCTTTATAAATGGACTGCTAACCCTTAGATTGGTTGTAATCATATTTTCTGAAGTTGTCATTTGCTTTTGGGGTATATTTATTTTCATAAAAAGGACTTTCAATCAAAAATGTATAAGTCTTACCAGAGAAAAGGAAGATCACAGGAAGGAAGAGGGAAGGTCCCAGGCAGGACAGTAGAGAAATACATGTGATCAACCTTATAATATTATCCCGTGGGGGTAAAGCTCTGTGATACAGCATGTTCTTAAGCAGGCACAAGGCCAATCCCCAAGACCAAAATAAGTAAACAAATAAAAGGAATTACAGGCCTATAATTCCAGCATTCTGGGAGGCTGAGACAGGAGGATCATCGATTCAGGGCTAGCCTGGACAGATTAGTGAGACCTTATCTCAAAATAGAAAATAAAAAGGGTTAAGGATATAGCTCCTAGACAGCCTGGATTTAGTCCCACGACTGTAAAAACTAAATGAAAAGCTCGGATCCACATTATTTCTTAGACAACTACCTCGTCTCCTTAGTAACAAGTCACCCCATTTACTCAGTAATCCATGTCACTGTACATGGGTAAAGGTCTCCTTTGATTGTGATCCCTAACCTGTGGCCCCCTTTTCCCAGCATTATCCAGTTTTTCTCTATCAATCAGGGACGGATTCTCTTAACAAACCCTTTCTTTGTGTGGAATTTAACCAGACTTCTCCACCTCTTCTCTCCCCACCAAACGTTGCCGCAGAAAGGAAAAAAGAACGTGGCCCTGGACCCCGCTCAGCCCCCCAACGACACGCTGCTACCTTGGCCACAGCGTCAGAGCTCCGGCGGCCTGCGGCGACAGAAACGGGACTGGGTCATCCCGCCCATCAATGTGCCAGAGAACTCCCGCGGGCCCTTCCCGCAGCAGCTCGTGAGGGTAAGTGCGGCCACTAGAGGCCACGTCTCTCCTGATTGGGCTTCTGTGTGGTATCCAAGACGGTCGAGGTCCTGCCTTTTCCGGAGCGAGGGTTATGCAAAGTGGAGGCCCAGCTGCTCTCTGGGAGATGAGACTTTCCATCAGGGTGACTTGTGTCCTAGTGGGACAGGAATACGGACCATGGCCTCTGGCCTCTGACGCACTTCTATGGTCCACAGGCCACGGTGTCTTTCCATGGCGTGTCTTTGACGGCGGTCACGGGGTCAGAATGATGGAAACCTGGGGTCCTGAGGCTGGCTAGCGAGGCCCACATGGCCGTGTGGTCTGTGTACTCCCTGTGCTGCCGCTGTGATGCTGGCAGCCACCACAGGCTGCTGCTCCGGCAGAGTTCCTCTCACAAATGTGTATTGTTGTAATCAAGACCGTCCATTCCTATTCCTTCTTCCATTTGCAAAGAACTGCAATTCGGTCTAAGCAATAATTCAATGAAATGTTGGCAAGCGTTCCATGAGTGCCCTCCCGCCGTGGAGGAGGCTCCCGGGTGTGGGGAAAGGGTCGGCTTCGTCTTCGAGCTCAGCAGCCCATCTTGCTTCCCATCCCTCTCCACACACAGAGCTGGGTAGTGCATTAGAATGCGGAGATGGCGCCTAGGAAAGCAGCGGTTGTGCAGAGCCACCCAGCTCGTTGTATCCCCAGGGTCAGCCACAAGGTGTGGAGTGCCCTCGCCAGGAAGGAGCCAGGACTGACAGGTTACTTAGAGCACACACTGATGTCAGTGCACGCACAGGCATCCACACACCCACAGAGACAGCGTTACCCTGCCTCTACGTGTGTCCTCCCAGCCGGGCACGTGGCTTTCCTGACCAGCCACACCCCCAGAGGGGCCTGCTGGGTTGGAGATTTTATTGTGACATGGGGATCAAGACATGAGGGACACCTTCAAGGACAGAAAACCCACTCAAGAGTGGCTTCCTGGGCCCACATCTCCTGGGCCCATTGGCCAACTCCTAGCCACATCGACTAATTAGAGCGCCAGTGACATTGTGTGCTCCCCGCGCTGTGCCCACAGCCTCACCACTCTCGGGTAATTGAGGTGTCTGACTATGCTTGTGTTGTCATTTACTTAAGCTTTTCTGTAAGCGATTCATTTGTAATGTAGATAAGTTTGTTCCAACAGAGGCTTCCTGCCTGAGTGACCAGCACTGTTGTGTTTGTTAGAAAGAGTTGGTGGTAAACACAAGCAAAGGTACAGCAAACAGCCGAGAGTCCACCCTCAGCCTGATATGGGGTAGGCAGGTGCACTAGGGCTCCCCCGAACCTCTGCTGGGTCTCCTGAAGAGAGAGGAACCCAGGAGGAAGGGCGCGTCCCATGTGCTACTCAGCACTGTCCTTCCCAGACTCTGCACTCGAGAAAACCACCACTCCTACTCAGATTGTGGCCCCAGGGCCCCCAGGGCCTGTGTCTGGGGGTTATGTGAACCAGTGGGTGTGGCTGGAAGCCAATAAATCCACATTCATGGAAGTAGGCACTGCACTGAATTTGGCCCGCGTGCTGTAATTTGACAATCACCAGTCTGACCCCTCTCAGGCTCCAGGAGGGTCTGTCCCAGTCTGCCTCAGACACAGTGAGCACATACGAATTTGCTGGCTGTTTGTGGGTCCAGCCGGTGTCTCGGAACTGCTGGGCTATCCTGTTGCCTGTTGTTGGCTTGCAGAGTTCCTTGGGCAGATGATGCAGGACCCACACATGGGCCTTTCTTCCTCCACTCCCATCTATAGACAGGCTGGAAAAAGTTACCAAAAAGAGGGCAGTCCCTGTGGACAGAGCCATGTCCCCGAGGAAGCTGGCTGGGTGGGATCTGGCAGCCGCACTGAGCCTGCCCTGTGCCCGGACAGGCAGTTTAGATGTGACTTGTGTCCCCTGACCTCATGATCACTACCCACCCATGCTTCTCAGCTGCGTCTGTGTCCCGGTGCCCTTGACAGCCTGTGGCATGCGGTCAGCTCGGCCTCTGTTGAAGGGGCAGTGCGCAAGTGAGCGTGCAGGAAGGCAAGCAGCCTCAGTGACCCTGGTCCAGCAAGTGTCCAGGCCTTCAGAGCGCCTCAGACTGACCATGCAGGTGCCCACGTTTGGCTCCCCTGTGCCTACCCAAGACAGGCGGCCCAGCTGGGCTGGCTTTTGGGTGGAGATACAGCTGTCACATATGGAAAATGGGGTCTCCATTATGGCTTCTGTGAGAGACTTGTCCTCTAAACTGTGGTGTAAGATCTCAGTGCACACACACGTGTGCACGCGCAGACACACACATTCTGATGGCGCCTCTCCGCCCACAGGAAGCCCTGTCAGTATTTCAGGGAGGGGGCCGTCCCTGACGTGACAGAGCCCCGATCACAGTGCATGTGAATGCCGCTTGGCGGAGCAAGAGGCTGAGGGGAGGTTGGCGGGGATCAGCCGCAGTTCCGCGCTCATAAGGGTGTTTCATTCTGATAAAATGTGTTCAATGAGAGAGTGAGTGGGAGAGGAGGCACAATGTTCCTCCCCACACCTCGGTTAACTGCAGGCTTTTTTCTGTACGGAGTAGCACGTCTCTTCCGAAGCGCTGGCTCCACTGTGCTGGGAAGGAGAGAGAGCTCCTAGTAGAGGGGCAGCTGGGGAGAGTGTGGCTGCCGTCGGTAGGCAGCTGAGCGCGGCTGGTGGGTGGTTTTGTCCCCGAGAACGGGACCGCGGTCTAAGTCATGGGCCACTGCAGCGCAGCAGCCTCAGGCTGTCCTTCCTTGTCAGCCACCACCACCACCATGCCGTGTCCTCCAAAGCTTATGTGCTGGAGGCTTCACCCCAGGGTGGTGCTCTTGGGAGGTGGTGGACCTCACGAGGCAGGACCTCGTGGGAAGCCTTCCGGTCACTTGGGGGACGCCCTCACAGGGACAGCGGGACCCTGTCCTTCCTCTTTCTGTCACGGTGGACCACGAGAGGAGCAGCCTTCTTTGGCACGTGCTCCAGCCCTGATGTCTGGTGTTGCCTTGGACCCAAAGTGACAGGGCCATTTGGTCCTAGACTGAAACCTCTAAAACTCTGTGCCGACACGAAGTTTTCTCCTTATAAGGTGGTTATGTCAAGTGTTTGTTAAAGAAACAGGAATCTGGCTCACGTGGAGGAAAAAGCAAGGAACGGTCTGAGCTGAGCCCATGGAAGGTAGACAGGGCTCTCCCTTACTCCCAGAGGGCTGTGAGCAATGGCAGGATGCCTTCCCCGGTCCTGTGGCCTAGACAGTGGGGGCACCTGCACGCCTCGCAATCCCAAGGGGAGGACAGAAGTTTCTTTCACAGCCTTCCAGAACCACCAAGCCACCAGCTTTCTGCTAGGCACTCAGAACTGGATCCTGAAACCGCAGAGGTGGTGACAGTTCCTACCCAGGGCCTCAGCACAGGATTAGGAAAGCTGCCTACTTCTCTCACATGCACATTAGGTTTGACTTCCGGCAAGATTCAGAGTGAGGATGAAAGCAAACTTGTAAAAGGCAGATCGGTTTCATGGCTGATCTAATAAAAATTCAGAATTTGTTGACTTGAGAGGTTGTCCACAGCAACTGCAAGAATTGACCCAAGACAGAGAAGAGGAGGGCAACGCTCTTGGGAAACAAAACCTTTAATTTCAAGAAGTCACGTAAACCAGACCTCGGGGCCCCACCAGAGAACAAGCCTGGGATAAAGACTCGGGAGGGAATTGCTACAGCAGCTCAGCCCAAAGGCAGCCGTGCGGGGATGTGAGAAAGGGCATTTCTGGAGCAGGGAGATCACAAGCAGGCAGTGACCGGCAGCTCTCAGAGGGATGTTAGAATCTGCTCCGACACCAGATGACTCCTGCCAGCTTCCATGGACAAACCCGAAGCCTTTCCCACATGTCCTGGATTGATGCAGTTCCCACTCGGTGTGCATGGACCCCACAGCTTCGTATGCAGCCAGATATACTCAGGGGACTGTGGTGTGGCAGGGAATGTGGAGGCAAAGACACAGGCCCTGCCCTCCACGGCTTGGGAGCTGGGGTCTGCCTTAGGAGATGTGGAACAGAGACGGATGAGGGCCACGTCTGGCCCACCGCAGACTCCCCGCAAGTGTTTCCAGATACGCAGATGTGTGGAGGAGCTGGCTGACTTACATGTTAACTCCTATTGCCCCTGCGGAATGCTGGCTTGGTCACACGTGTGGCTCACCGAGCCCACCTCTGGCCCTGTCCCGCGGTGCTCCAGTGGCATGTGCGAATGACTGACAGGGTCATCATTAGTCATTATTCAGGGGAAGCAAGGTGACCTTCCCAGAGCTGGGTACGTGTGTGCTCTCATCCTCCATGATTGCCACTATCCTTGGGAGAAGGTCTTATTCCTCAGCCTTGCCGCTGAGGCCCCCATGCCCTAACCCTGCCCCTTCACATGCCAAACCCCAGCCATGCTGCCCTCCATCTCTTGGAGGACCTGGCCTCGTTGTGAGGTGCCATGGCACATCCAGTGCCTGCCACTGTAGCAGAGTTTTCTCTGGCTTGGGACCCACATTGAGTGTAAAGCTACCTGGAGGGTGGACCACCCATCAGACACAGCAGTGGGTTAGAGCAGATGCAGTTAAGGACTTTTAAGAGAAGGCAACCTCAGAAGGATCCCTGCTGCTCAGCCCTTCCTGGTCTTTCTGGAGAGTGTTAGGTCAGGTGTTCAGTACTGGATGATAATTAAATTGGGAGTCTGGTAATGGAGGAGTAATTTGTATCATACTGAATCCCCTACAGATGACAAGCGATGGGAAAATTTAGCTACTTGAAATTACTTGAGAGTGATTGATAATAAGCAGAAAACTGTTGGAAACCCCACCCTCAGAAGCAGGCAGCCACTGGGTGAGATCTGTGCTTGTGTGGCCTCCCCCAAGGTCCCCTTCTGGTCCTTGGAAAGGATGAGTGCAATTTGCACAGAAAACCACAGTTCTGCAGGCCCCAGGAGCCAGAAGAAGGCATTTAG